TCTATCTATCTATCTATCTATCTATCTATCTATCTATCTATCTATCTATCTATGAATATCTCACACTGTTCTTGATTGGGTTTACATGCCTGCAGTCCTTGCCCAGAGATGCATTTTTGTTTAGGTACTTTCTAGGTCATCGATTGCTGTTGAAATTTCCTTTGGTCATTTCTAGAAGCTGCTTTATTACTTGTCCTTGGTTTCTTCATTGCTGTCTCTGGGAAAAAGACAGCCAAGAGAGTGCAGGCCAGGAGCCCTCCTGGTGACCTCATGCAGCTTTTCATGTTTTCTGTATGAAGAGGAGCTAGGGTTGGAAGGCAGTCCCAAGGTCTCTAAATGAGAAGCAGTCTGAGAAGCAGGGGTGCCTTTATCCTAAGAATTCCTTATGTCTTTGGAGTTGGGATTTAGCAATGCTCTCAGTTTCATCTCTGTCTTAGAAGAACATGCTATGGATGGTTTCCCAGCATCCTGTCTGAGAGAGTAAGGCCATCATCCATATCCATCCAAGTGCCACCCAGAATCACATACCTCAAAAATTATTGAGGGACTCCTCCCCCTCCAACACTGTTGTGTCCTCATTCTAGAATATCCCTAAGTCTAGGAATATAGGAAAGGGCACAGGTAGTGATTAATTACTCTTTCTAATTAGGGACAAACCATTGGCACATAGCTATTTTCATCCTGAAATCATGTTTTCATGAGGGTATTTAAAGGCTTGAGGTTTTTCTCCTTGAGTCTCCCTGCCCCTATCCCTGTGCAATATAATGGGTTAATTTTAGGAACTCTGAGTTTGATTTGTATTTAAGATTTTTGCAATCTATATATAGGTTGGCCTTTAATAATCATTTATACATTGCTTCTTTTTATATAGGTCATGTGTTCTCCTGGGAGGGTAACAAGATTAGAAACAGCAAATACAGTGCAGAATAAATTAAAATGCTTCAAACTGCATTGTATAATTTCAGAAAATTGGTTTCACACTGAAACATTTAAATAAGAAAACCAAATGAGTTAAATAAGAAAAAAAAAATAAGTAAACCAATCCTGCATCAAATGCTGGAATGGCCATTGTTTAGCAAGTTGGCCTCTCCTCAAAGTGCTGCTCCAACATGACAGCCCATCTGGCCAATAAGGGTTAAAACTGTTATCATTTTTCCTCTTTTTTTTTTTTTTGTTATTTCAAAAGGCTGGTCTCATTCCCGTGGAAGAGGAATATATTTATTAGTCAAATGCCATAGGGTCGTGCTAACAGTAATTGTATTTTCATATACAATTCTCCCAAGTCTTGCACACCAAGCCGTGCTGTTGCACTCGGCGCTGCAAACTCGGGGGTGGGAGTGAGATGTGAGATGCAGGACGACACACTGCTTAATCAGTCAGGATGATGAAAAGTGGGCTTTCCTTCCACGGCCGCATGCAGGTGACACAGCACTCTAGAGACTCTATTATTCTGGCCAGTTTTGTTGGTTTCTCTGAAGTTCAGCATCGCTTTGCTCTTACTGAGTCCTCAGGTCTTTTTCAATTTCTCTATTCGTGCATTAAAGGCCTCTTCCTGTACTTGCAGCTTTTCGCTTATCTCGTTCTGTGGAGACAATCATAAACTAGTGGTTACGATGGAGCTATCTTTGGCTGCACATTGTCTTTGCGGTTTTGACATACTAGAGTGCCTAAAGACAGGCATTATCCCTCGCACACCTTCCTGCTCTGCAGACAGGGCTGTGCTCCAGCCTGTGGTGATTCGATAACACTTTAACGTATTTCTCTGCACATTCCCAATGTGTAGCATGTCTACCATGGACAGGAAGTGGTATTTGGCCAGCCGTTTTTCACACAGCCTCATGCTGGAAGACAGAATGACTGATCTGCATTTCCAGACAGATTTGCCAATAAGGGCTGAATCACAATAACTGCTTCAGGTTCGGTTGGTGCAATGTGGTGGGCCCCTCCAGCCTTTGTTTTGGCCTTCCCTCTAGGGTATTCTAAGTGGGATTCCTAGAAGCCTCGGTGTGTGGAATAACAACACAAATAATCTCATAATTAAGAGTGTTCATCATACATTAGAATTCTTGCATGCATGCCACTATGTAATGTATAGTTGGTACCAAAAAAAAAAAAATCCCTCATAAGAAATTGGTGACAGGTTTTGGTGACCATGGCAGCCTCCGGTGGTGATATTCTGCATACTAACACACCTACCTGTGTAATCCCAGAAATGCACCTCATTGTATTTGTGCTATATCTCAACTCTAAGGACTCAGGAAATGCTTTCTTTTCATTAAGATGAATGACACGGTGCACCCAGGGACAATGGCAGTTGGGAGCCTTTTTGCTGTTGGGTGACCAGGGGACACTGACAAGTATGTTTATTGTGAAATCAGGAGTTAAGTGAGTCAAAATCTAGAATATTTACGTATATGACATAATTTGAAATCTTTATGGGGACTGTATTTGCAAGAGACTTTTATTATTTAAATAGAAAAATAAAAAGCAGTACTGTTTTACTAGCAGATATGATCAAAAACATTTTTGTGGATTAATGTAATTTTAAGAAAATAAATGTAACAAGTGGTTTTGAAATGTTTCCCATGATTACCACTTTAATGAGATTCGGTTTTCACACCATGGAAAGAGTTATATTCCTGATGGGTCACCTTGGCGATCTAGGATTTGTGTGAGTATAGAATGGGGCAGGGCTTTCAAGGTGGCTCTTCCTCCTCCTTCTTCTTTGGTCAACTTTTGACTTCTGGTTTTGTCCCATTTTTTTTCTTCATTAGTGGTAGAGTGGATGAGGCAAGGGAAGGGATAAAGTGGTCCCCTAGTTACCCTTTTCACTGATACCCCCATGCGGTACTTTGGTAGAGCTAAAAGGAACGTGGTCTAGTTTGAATAAATCACTTTGGACAAGTAGCCACCTAACCTCTATCTGGGGAAAGAAGTAGTGAATAGGGTTTAGTTAACATTGTGCATTTGTAATCCTAACTCCTGATTTCACAATAAATATACTTCACTAATGGCATAGTTCACTTACATATTATCACAAAATAGTAAAAATTATTATAGCTTATGGACTGACATAAATCTATGGCTTATTGCACCATGTAGGTGCTGAAATGGCCTAATGAATAGTTTTGACCCAGTTCTAATTGGTTGGGAGGATGTGCTCTAGCCAGATGATGGGCTTCTTCACGGATGCCCTTCTGTGTCCACCTTACGTTTTCCAGAGAAGCATGGCCGGCCTGCCATGCACCAGCTCCCTATGTGGCACCTCACTAAGGTTTTCACAAGGTTTTGGAATCTCTTCTTGTGTTTCCAGGACACGGAGTTGATTACGCTGAGTGTGGTAGCTTTGGAGAGAAGGTTCAGGAAGGTAGCATGTGCCTAACAGAGCGCTGTACTGGCAGGAGAGAAAACTTCCAGACCTTCAGACCTCGGTGACTGGTGCTTTAGTTGTGGGCCAGCCAGCAGAGCCTGACTGAAAGAACTCTGTGTGTATTCACTGGATCCGTCGGTTTGCTGTGTCTCCTTGCTACTTCTCAGAACACTCCTGACTAGGCACACTGCCTTCAGCTTGGGGCTGGGCCTCATTCTATCTCCTTTAGCAACTGTTCTCAACCCCCTTGTTTTCAAGCTTTCACCGACCACTACCTCAGATGACTTTTCTAACACGGACAGTTCAAAGCTGACCTAAGACATCAGCAACAGCAGGATGGCAAATTCTGTTCACTTTTTCCTCACGTTATTATTTTTTCTTTTCTTTGCTGTTGTCAGGGCCAACAGCCAACATTTAATGTAAGAGTTTAGGATTATCATTCCTATTTCTCTAAAATGTGATTCTTTAAATATATGAACATTTATTCCATTGGGTCTTATTTTTATTATGCAGCCCAGGGCCAAACTAATTTCATTTCTAATGTATCCTTAAAATGAAAACACCTAAACTATATTGGCTTAAAATGTTCGGTCTATTTTGTGAAATTTTAATTGACATCTGAAGGCCACGGTAACTTCATTCTTAATAAATCTCTAAAACTGCAAAGTGAATTATGGAAAAAAAATAAGTGGGTGAACATAAAATATTAAGGGCTTACACTCCATTTCAGGAGGTTCTATATCAGAGAAGTTGATATCGGCTTGGAATTACAACAGAGAAGTAGCTCTGAGACAATGTACTGAGACACGAATTCTCTACTGACCTTTTCAGCAAAAGCTGCAACAACTGTATGACTTTCACAGAAGGAGGAAGAGAAAACTATGGAACAATCGTAAACGCTGAGAGCAAAATGCGCATTTTTTTTTGTACGTATGGCAGATGCATGTTAGTGACACACAGGTTTGAAAAAGGGTGCGGCAGGTTTTAGAACCAGGGGCAAGTAAAAGTGCAAAGTAACTCAGCCCATGTGACACTGAAGAAAAAACTTAGGTGAGGCTCGGGGCAATTACCCAACTTGGAATTTGTCCAAGAGGAAGGTCGACCAGAGGGAAAGGATGAAGCCAAAGTGTACTGCTGTATTAACAGTCAAAGTACCTTGGATGGTGCTGGAGGTGTAGCTGGGACCAGGCTCATAGCACCTGCTGAGCCTGGAGACTGTAGACAAACAGCAATCACTCTGGGTCCTGTTTTTTTTTTTTTTTTTTTTGGTTTGTCATCGGAAGCTCCCACTTCACTTGCATGGATAACAGAGAGAAAACTCGGAGGGTGGTTTGCTATCACGAGACACTAGAGACCTCCACACCATCTTCCCAATTGGCCTGAGCTGATTAGACCCACCCAGCACCGAGAGGCTAACGGTGCCTTCAAGGTCTGGGTGTGTCCCCGCTCGTCCGCGTTCTCTCGGTGCATGATTGCACTTAGGCATACAGGCTGTTGGACTTCCGGGATGGCTCCGTGTCCGTGGGAAGATAACAAGCACACACACCACACTAATCCTAGTCTTTCTGTCAGAGGAGTGAGGTGCCGGCGCTGCGGACTCTGAGGCTTTAAAGGAAAACCATCAGCGAATAGTTAAAAACACGCCGCTCTCTTCATGGAACACGGCCTCGGTCAAGATGTTTTCAATTGTGGGTCCTGCATACAATTCTCTTGCTTGTCTGGTAGTTCCCCGGCAATAATTTCAGAGCTGTGAGATTGCAAAGGAGCCCTGGGCCGTGATTATACATAAACTATATTTAGAGGAAATGTTATCAAATCTGAAAAGGAGGTATGTTCTGAACTCAGCTTAATTCAGCTGCACTCTGCCCTTCTACACAGTAACCAGTTATTACATTCACAGGCCTGTTAACAATAGGCCTTTGTGTAAAACGTGTTCTTCCACTATTTCTGGTAAACACTAAACACCCCTTATTAAGCTGGGGACTTTGGCTGATTCTGTTGGCACCGGATCATTAGATGCTCGTGTAAATATTGCAATAACACTTGATGATTAAACTCGGAACAAGGTATGCTTAGGACAATCTAAGCCTTTGCTCTTCCCAAATTAGTTATTAATGCAGTGTGCTTTTTTTTAAAGATATGGTCCCAAGTTCAGATGAAAGGTAAATTGTTCCCTCAGATGTGTCGTGCTGTTGTGATTTATGGTCATTTCTCAAAAGATACAATTCACTTCATTTCAGCACTTGGCTTAGGAAGCGATGTGGATTCCTGTAAGTCTTTACTCGGAGGTGGTAGAGCTGTTTGTTTCTTGAACAGGCTGGGGATGTGTTAAACATGAAGTGACCTTATGGGGGACGATGGGCAGCTGCCCAGAGGTGGTGCCTATTACCCGTTTTCAGGGCACCCTGGGTGCACATGGCTTAGAGAACAGAGATTTGTGAAGGTGGTGAGGACCTGAGAAATATTTCAAACCTGAAACTGGGTGAGGTGACTCAGTGAAGCACCATCGGGCAGTGCTCACTCTTCAGAGGCCCTTGCGTGTCACTCGCTCTTGCGTAAGGTGTGTTTACAGTGTGGTGTGGCTCAGAGCCTTCACCGTGCTGTTTTTCTGGGGTTTCAGTGTCGAAAGATTTGCAGGCTGATAACACACAGCACACGAGGTGCTGCTGGAAAATCTGCTTTTGGGATCTTACTGAATCCAAAAGACTCAGCTGAGGATTATGGAGCCTCGTGAGATAAAGTGTGCAAACCGTAAACCTCGCTCTTGCTTGGCCAGAACCAAGCAGTGTTTACCGATGTTGAGGCTCACGCTGCCTAACTCATCCGGCCTAAGGTGGAGTTTACTGTCCATTCTCAGTACCTGAATGTTCAACAGAACCTCATCTGTCACCCGAGCCAGTGCTGATTTTACATCATCAATGGTGAAGCCAGCTAAAGGATCCATCTTTGCCCTTTCAGTCTCCAGCAGGGACTCCTGAGATCCTTGCTCTTGATCCAGCTCCTAAGACATTGGAAAGACACACACTCAGATATTGAAAGTAAACAGCATTTAAGCAAGCGCTCAAGTGCTCAGAGATTTCCAGGCAATCTCAAACGTCTATTCGGTGACTTTGTCCTACCAGGAGCAATGGTGAACTGGAAGGAGACTATAATTTTATGTTACCACATATCTTGGGGATTACCAGAGACTTTGGGGACTTCAAGGGTGGAGCTTGGGTAGCACGCAAGGAGGAGAAAACAAACAAAAACAAACAAAACAAAAACACTTGACCACCTCAGTTGGCTCATGTGTGAATCAACTCTAAAAGGAATATTTATACTGGCCAGGAAAAAGTCAGAGGCAAAGATAATGGGAGGACATGAGGTTCTTCTCATCTTGTGCCTAGATAATGCCTAGCAGGGGGAGGAAGGGCAGACTCTAACCTACCTTCAGCTCTGACTCCAGGGATGGTGATGGCTCTATGAAGGTTGAATAGATGTCCACTGAGATTCCTTCCTCCAACGGGGCTGGGAAAGGGAGGTCTGCAGGCTTGACAAGCTCAATGGTTTGCTGGAAAAAGAAGAGTTTTTGGTGAGTGGCACTGTCTCAGCCAGTACCCTCAACAAACCAGCATGGATGCCATCTGCTTGGAATGTTTGATACCATTGTCCTCTTGGTTGCCTGGCGCTTTTCAAGCATCATCTCTCACTCACAATTAGCATTGTCTTCTTCTTGTTCTTGTACTCTGTGGTTGAGGGTTCATTGGTTTGCCTTGATCTCTGCACCAGGCCCTACCTCTCACTCCTGTTTGCAAGCTCTTTGTAGGGAGAGAGCGAAGCTTCAGGCCCCTTGTGTATCTGTCTTATCTGTTGTTGCCAGAGGGTTCAGGACTTAGTATTCCCAGTAACAGGTAATTGACACAACTTAACAGGATGTCAATGTTCTTGAGGGCACAAGCACAGTGGCTATCAATGACCTGGGGCAATAGGGTTGGCCTTGCCATTGACCTGAGTTTGATCGCTAGGATCCATATTAAGAAAATAAAAAAAGCCAAGCATGTTGGTATGTGCTTGTAATACCAGTGCTGGGAAAGCAGAGACAGGAGGGTTCCTGGGGATCGCTGGGAAGCTCCATCACTTAATATAAAGTAAAAGGTGGACAGTGCCACAAGCAAAGTCAACCTTTGGCTTCCATGTGCATGTTTTGGGCGCGTGAGCACTCGCGTACACACACACACACACACACACACACACACACACACACAACCTAGCAGCAAACACAGCAGAATATCTGAAGTTCAGTGTGTAAATGAAACCAGAGCAATGTGAATCAGCAGAGGGACTCACGGAAACTGCGTGGCAGAGTCAGCTGACAGTACCCAGCCAACAGGGTATAAATGCAGTAGAGGAAGACTGTCAGCAATGGCAGCCTAAGATGAGGAAAGCCATCGGTGCCAGCATTGGCAGGGTCCATCCAGCCGCCACTAGGTAGAGTGAAAGAAGAGATGAGGGTACTAACAGCATTAAACCTCCGGATCATTTAATTAGTTCTTCTTGTTCTAATTCCGTGTTTAACAAGCAATGTTTTTGACTATAATTTAATTTCCTATCTCAGTTGATCTGTAAGGACATGCCCACTTGAGTGCTCTGGTTTTCATGTCTTCCACATACCTCACTATAAATCAATAACGTGTTCCAATTTACATAGCTAACTCTCGTGAGCTTGTTAGGGATGCCTTGAGATGAAGTCATTCAACCCTGTGCTGACAGAGTTGGACCTGAGCACAAAAAATTTGAAGACAGAACTATGGAAAAGCATACCCTACCCCATTACCCCATTACCATCTTAGGATGCTTTTGGGAAACACACACACACACACACACACACACACACACACACACACACAGACTCGTATAGTCATTTCTATCTTTTCTGTGCCACTCTCCCTCATTTAAATATTAATGTTTTTCCTTTACAGGTTTTAGATAGTGCTGGAGGGGATTTTTTTTTTTCCCCATGGGTTTACAAGTTGTGTATGCATTTGAACTGAATTTATATCATTAATCTTAGTTGAGCATGTACAAAGTTGCTGTTTAGTTGTAGATATATAAAGGCAAGGAGATTCGACAGTGGAGAGGTGAAATCATTGGTCTAAGATCAAATTATTTGATGACAGTGGAGGAGATCAAGCCGAGCGCAGTGGCCCTTAGCTTTGGCCATTTTCAGTAAACTATAATTTACCATTAAGTGGCCATCCTGGGAAATTATTGATATTGCTAAACATTTAATTTTTGTTCTCTTGGATGATGTCATTCCTGCTTTTATCTTGAGTAGATTAAATGTTCATCAGAGTCCTGAGGAGACATCAGGACAGTCACATTCACAAACTGTTGCTTTCTGCCGAGTGAGGGGTAAAAGACCCTTATCTCCTCACTATTATTTGCCCCCCATCAGGCTTGACTTGGAAACTCCCAAATCTCTTGGTCTTCATTTTTCTCAGGCAAGAAAAAGGGCGACCGTGCTGCAGTGTCCTCTGAAACCTTAAGGTGAAATTCAGAAAAGGCCGGTGGGAATCGGAGACTTGGGAAGGAGCTGGGGTGTTAGCGAGGAGTCGTGGACTTTAACATATGGCGCAGGGTGTGCTCGGGGGTGATAGTGACAAGAGACACTGAAAGGAGCTGATTGGCTTGGTGCTGGCACTGAGCATGCGCCGATGGGTGGTAGAGTGCTGTCTTCGTTCACTGTCGCCACCTTCCTGCTCTGCTCCGGGCGCCCACGCTGAGGGGTTTTCTGCCTGTTTGCCCTCATCTACAGACATTCTCTACAGAGAGCCTCTCCATCTGATGAAGCGGAGCCCACCGTCTGCCCTCTGCTGCCCGAGTCCTCCTCAGATTCTACACTTAAATGCAAACAGATGTTTGTGTTCAAGTTTTAGGTTTTCTTCCTCAGCTCCTCTGTGGTCCAGATTGATTGATTGATTCCCTTTTAAAAGATTGTATGCGTGTATGCTTGTGTGTATGTAAAGTCTGCGTTGGAGTGTCTTGGATGCCAGAAGAGGGCATCCCCATAGAGTTTTGAGATGCCCAACATGAGTGATTGGAACTGAACCCAGCTCCTCTAGAACCCAAACCACTTAAGCCATCCCATCCCATCCTCCCTCTCTTTCTTTTTTCCCTCGCTTTCTGGATGTATGTTAGAGTGTGTACATGTGTCTATATGTATATGTGTAACTGTGTATGTGTGTGGACGCATTTGTATGTATGTGTCTGTGTATACGTGTAAATGTGTATGTGATGTGCAATTATATGTATATGTACATAGGCGAATGACTGTATGCGTGTGCCTATGTGTGTGTACATGTGGATGTATATATGTCTGTACATAGGATATGTGTGCATCTCTGCACATATATACGCTGTGTCTGTGTGTGAATGTACATGTGTATGAGTCTATGCTTGTGAATGTACTTCACGTGTATGTATATATATGTGTGTGAATGTGTGTGTTAATGTACATGTGTGTGCCCCTATACATACATGTGTGTGTGTGCCCTGGCACACACGTGGACCCTTGGATCTCTCTGGCTTTCTTTCTTCGGTAGATCGAAGCTTGTATTTATTCCCAGAAGCTGAAATTATGGCTGACAGTTGAGGTTTTCTTCCTCTTGATTTTTTTTTTAATGTGTGTATTCATATAACTATTAAATTGATTCAATTCATGCACAGGAGTGGGGGTGAGAATTTCTTTTCTTTGCATGCTCTGCATACTGTTAATGAACCAAACCACAGCTGTTTCTCTCTTTCACGAAGAATTAAATTTAGCTGTGTTAGGCAGGAGACGAAGGTGCAGTTTTAAATGCAGAGTTTGAAATAAACAATAAGGCTCCCGAGTATCACAGTGAGTTTTTCCCTGTGGAAAGTGGTCGCCTTCCTTAAAAAACAAGTCCAAGGGAAATTAGAATCAATAATTGTGGCGAGCACATGGAGCCAGCAAACATGCTTAAATGAAACCGTCTGATGCAATACTTTCTTTAAAAAAATACAATTAGGCCTTTGTATTTTTTTTTTAACAAAACCTCATGTTTTACAACAGCGCTGGGTCTGTAATAAAATCTATTTAAAACAGAGAGACATGGTCAGCTTTATTGAGTTAGATTTTCTGAGAGAACATTATAATTTCCTCAAGTCTATGAATAGTTGAAGCAAATTAAATAAAGCCAGTTTTATAACTATTTTTGTACATTCCTGTAGGATGGCAATTGTCTCATATTTTTCCCCCCTCAAAAGTCTAATATATTACCTTTTAAATCTGGAAAAATAAAAACAGAGAAAGGATAAAGTAGGCTTAGTTTAAAAAAAAAACAAAAAAAACAAAAAAGCAAAACAAACCAACCTATTTGTCTGAATTTAACTACCTCATGACCCCAGCCCCTTTTCACAGAAGACTAGCACCCATGTCACTCAGACCAAGAATCAAAGGGAGATACTTAAGAGTGACTTTACTCAAGCCTAAGGTTGAGCTTAAAAGGTAGGACTTTCTGATACACACACACATCCATTTGGCCAAATGACTGGTTTTGCTTGACTTTCAAATACCCGCCAAATATTGCTTTGGATGTAAAGCAACCAGCGCGTTTCTCTTGCCATTTCTGGACGCTTGCACGCAAACGGATATAATAGAAACAGCCACATTGCTCCGCGCAAACACCACTTATTATTATTTTTTTTCTGATTATGAGCAGGCCATTTGAATGAAGGTGAGTACATTAAAAGCTCTAATAAAGAGGGGAAGAGATTTCTAAACAGAATAATGGACTGTTAAGTGAACATGCAATAAATAACATCCACAGATGTGGTCACTTGCAAATTAGTTTTGCATAACTTACTTTCTGCATTTTCTCCAGATGTTATCTGTTACATGGGAATTACCTGAAGCTGGCTATATTGTTCTTTGTGTGCGCATTGCACTTGTGTTATTTAAGATGGTTTGTAATCTGTGCTTAACTTGACTTGTGCTACGGTATTTAAGGAATATCAAATGAATGGCTTTTTGGCATAATTTAATACTCATCAGTACAAAACTGCACCATCAAATATTGTCTTTTTTTTTTTTTTTATTGTAAGCCCTTTACTTAGGAGCCAAATCAAATCACTAGAAATCTTTTGAAATGTTGTGTTTTCAATATGAATTGGATATCTACCATGGGAATAAATGCTAGGAATTTTGACCTCTTCTGGAGGGTCATTTTGGCTCTGAAAATATGCTTATAGGAAATCAGACTCCGTCTCCAGATCTTAGTGTGCCTGAGCAGTCCTGTGAAGATGTCACACGGAATATACAGTGCTACTCCATTCTTCTAGACTTTCTGAACTAACGTTGCCAACAGCGTCCCATCCGTTGCTTCTTTTCGGAGAATGGGTAAGCCACAAATGGTTTGTGGGCTAAGTTTGCACCCTTAACAAATCCTGAAGGTAGTACATTTGCAGTTATCAAAATCTGTTATTAGATCATCTGTGATGTTAGAGAATCTACCAAGATTACAACTTGCCACAATTCTGAGTGGTAGAAAA